ATATAAATATGTATAGTAACTGTATGCATTATTATTTGAATCGTTTTAAACCATTTTAGCGATGTTCACATTGTTTGATTTTCAAGCGGTTATAGAAAAAAAAACTATGCTAGAATGATATGCACTTTTTATTAAYCTAATGAATAATTGTTTTCATCAGGATGTTGGATGTTTTTTGTTAGATAGGTATACTTCAGAATAATTTTGTATTATATGCAAAACAATGCAATAGATATTTTCATTAAAATATTATATGTGGCCTGGTGTGGAGTGGCATTTAGTCTCAGTCAACAACGTGTTGTGAAGACAAGGATCAGCCGGTGTCTCTAGTTCTCGAATGAGTTTATTTATTTTTAATTCAATATAAAGGATAAAATCAAGAATGGTTTTTATCATGATGATAATATAGGTATAGGTATAGTTATTTCAGCATTTGAGGAAAAATATAATAAAGAAAAAGTTGAGATCAAAAGAGTAAAAAAAGATTTAGATATATTCTACAGTGTGATAGATAAAGACGTACCTACATTGGTGAGTTGAAACTGTTTACGTACCTACATTGGTGAGTTGAAACTGTTTTTAATCACATTTGGCTCACTACAATAAGGGAGGATTCATTAGAGGGTTCCTTTATTGAGTCCCAATTTGTAGGAGTGGTACAGTAGAAGGTTATGCTCAGTTCAASAAAACTAAACAAAACATAAACTCAATATTTCCCAACTTAGACGGAACAATAAAACATTTTAAATTTTTGTAACAACAGAAACAAAATCAGAAACTAACTCTGCGTGGACACAGAATTGTATACACCCAATGAGTAACCATGTGGAGTATTTAACTATATTATTACCGAACCATAAAATTTTATTTATTATGAACAGTTAAATGATATATCAATTATGTACCTATTTGCATTTTCCAATTAGATATTATATTTGAATTACTTAATATTTTCATGTTAGCATAGCTTGTTTGTGACATAAAATCATMTATTATAATACCATTAGAAAGCCATTATATTATGTTATAATATAATAAAAAATAATTTTATATTAATATTTCCTAATGATAAGTACCTAATTGATTCATTTTAYTTATTATAATTTAAATCATTTGTGTTTTAAAATATAAAATAATCACTTGTGGCTTGTAGGATTTTCGTTTTTATTATTGATCATTTAAAACATCAAAATCAAAGGTTATTAGTTAAAAGTGTTATAAGACTATTAAATTTTTACAATTACCAAAATGATTACGAAGTTACATAAAATATAATATAAAATAAAATAAAATAAAATATATACATAATACATAAAATACGATTTGATTTGACAGATCCTCAGATTTTTCACAAGAAGTTGATCGTACTGTTCCGTGTTCGCATTTAGACGAAATGGATTGTAAAATAATAAATTTATTTAGGTATGTATGAAAAATGTATTGGACCTTACCTTCCCATACAATTTGTTGAGCTCAATAACGATTTCTTAGTAAAAATATTAATTTCTTAATTCTCACTCAGTCACATATTATAATAAACGTTGTTAAAATAAAAATTAAATTAAGTACGAGTATTGTATTGTAATATATACTTAAATGATAAAAGTAAACCATTTTAAGATATTCATAAGTAATAATACATTATAAATATAATTTAATTTAGTATTATAGCATTATAATTTTGTTTCATTTTATGTGAATTGTAAAATACTTTTTTAAAAGTAACATTTATTCTTAATTTTTAAGTTCACTCACTAATTATTTTTAATCATCAGAAATATATATCCATTCATAYTATTTGAATAACTAATGCATTGTTGTGCCTAGTTATGGGCTAGTGGGTTAATAGCCAAATAATATTTACGTTTTCAAATTTGGGTTTTTTTTTTGTGTAAAAAATGAAATCTTCAATGCAAATATATTCAAGACTACAGTGTATTTTGAATATCGCGTTTACAATTTATTTTTAATTATGTTACAAACAGCTTATAAACATAAGCGTGCGCACGGAGTAGTCGAGGTAGGCACAAGGCTATACCTCAATATTCCATAATATAATCATAATATCTTAGCAGGCATACGTTCGAAATAAACTAAAAAAATTAATTTTTACAACCTAGTGGCGAAGAAGAATATAGGTATTATTTACGTATGTGTGTGTGTTGATATGTTATGTATGACTATTATGCCGGTAGCCGATAATGTTTTGACACRCTTATGTTTATAAATGTTTTTGTGATTTTAGGAATATGGAGATCAATATGACAATAAGAAGGGTGTGATTAGAAATATGTGGAGGAGCATTATTGGTTATGAGTCTGAAGATTTTAGATTGGAACACTTGTATTTTTTGAATATTCGATTTTTTGGTAGTGCCTCAGACCTGTATACCGTATACAAAAGTAATATGTTGGTTTTATACTTACGTATAAAATCATTGATATTCATAAGATTCACTAATCATGGATATTTAAAATCTTATACAGTTTATAATACATAAATTAACATACGATTTTATAAAATTAAAACACGACATATAAAGTTTATATAGGTAGGAAAGTAGTGAAAGTAGGTGCCTTAAATTTGTAAATTTATATAAATTTAATTAAAGCGATATCTCGAAACTAGCAGAGATTCGAGTTAAAAAAAAAAAATGTTTTCATAAATTTTATACAATTACCTATCCTATTTACACAAATTATTAGTTATTATATTACGAACCTGCAGCGTCCTACATTTAACTATGACACGTTACATTTCAAATATCGAATCKTCAGTGATATTTTTAAATGTTATTCCAGATAATACGATTAATGTATTTAATATAGGCTACATTCAAGTTGTGTCATTATAACATTATGTCTGAATTTATTTAATAAATGCAACAGTTATGAAAGTTTTAGGTGTAACGGAAACCGTAAAAAAATATTGTTAACCGTGATAATCGTAGTTTGAAACATGTACCTACTTATGGGATTCAGTAATACAGATAACCGTATATATAACGATATCCTACAAAAAAAAAAGATTAGCATAGACATAGATAACATTGAAACAATCTACAATTTTTTTCCATTACATTAATTTATACCACAAACTGTAAATATTTGTAAATATTTCATTCTTGCTTTAATTTGTTGCTATTGMAGGCTAATAACCTCAAAGGTCCGCCGCCTTGAGGACAATACGGGCCTACCGAACCGTCTAGGATGAGGCCGCGCTGGTTCTGGCTTGCACGCSGCCGGCAGATCTGACCGGGCTCGAAAGAGGKAGAATAAGATCTCGGCTTAACGCCACTTTTGAGCCAGGAGAACTGCGTCCGTCTAAACTAGCGGTCAAACTCGAGTAGCGAAAAACTACAATTGCTCTATGGCAGGCAAGGTGGGAAGCGACCTCAAAAGCCGCATGGACGCGTCGCGCCATTCCGGATATAGGTAGA